CTTCCTTCCTTCTGTCCTCCCTTCCTTCCTTCCGTCCTCCCTTACTTCCTTTTATCCATTTTCCATTTATCCTTCATTCCTTCCGTTGATCTGTCCCTTCCTCGCGATCTCTTTTCCTTTGTTTATCAATTTTCCCTCCTTCCTTCTCTATGTTCATATGAATTTTTTTTTACTTCAAGTCATTCTTTCATTTACTTTAGCTGTACCTGTCAACTAATACTGGCTCCTCATTTAAATTTCTTTCTGATCAAGTCAGGGCTTTCTGGTGGTAAGTTCATGTTATGGCTTTCATTCACTTCTTATCATTATTTTTAACTTATTGGTTGGGGCTCCATAAATACTCTTCATTGAGCTTGGAATTTTCTACTCCAGAAACAGCTTTAAATGTAGTTATTGAAAACTTAATGTTTTATACTAGTGTAAATAGACCACTTTACTTTGAGCTTGATGTTTTCCCACTACAGACCGGTCATATCATTCTCTAGAGTATCATTTCTTTGTTTACAGCGCTTCTCAATCACGCGCAAAATTTGGAAAATTTTTTCAAGAAATAATAGAGTTTTGGTGAATGCCAATGAAAGTCATTCCCAGCATTGTTGGAAAACACAAAGCTTTTAAGGGCACATGCCTATGGAATGTCATGGAAACGCATTGATTGACGTCCACCAAAACCTACTTCATCACAATGGCAAATTGTATGATTTCACGAGTGTGCTTGAGAAGTGCTGTAATAGTTGCGTATGAGAAGACAAATCAATATGATTGGATACAATTCAAACACAGAATCTTTTCTAACGAAAATGTCACATGCTCTAGCCAAAATAGAAAAGCATTGGCCCTAATTACTCCCTATTCCATAATTAACAATAATGAACAGATCCACAAACATGTAGTTGGAGGTTGCTGCTTTATTACACTCTGAAAATGATTTCACAACCTACAGTAATTCACATGGTTTCTGAGTGCCTAAACAGTTATCTTAATTCATTGTCAGAGAAAAGGTCTTGAGTCAATATTTAGTATCCTGACTGCCTATTTTCTTACAGGGGAGTGGAAGGTACTGATCCAGAAACAACAATTTTTGTGGATAAGCTTAAAACATCAGGTATGTACTATGTGGCTAGCATTTTTCTTTTAATTGAAACTTCATTGGTTGTCTTGCAGTGGGCGGTGTGAAGCTGAGTTACCCTAGTGGATGGACGGACAAAATAATGGATACCAGTAGACTGACTGACTGATACAAGGCTTGAAATAGCCGCCTTCAAATGGCCAAATGACAGGCCAAATTTCAGGTTTGGCAGGCAAAAATAGCAATGTGCTGCCAAATGAATAATAAAATGGCATTCAAAATGTACTGGAATGACCTCCTTTTACACCATGCTCCTTTACTATGGCAGGCTAACAAAAATTCCTATTTCGAGCCCTGTGACAGATTCACATGACTTGTGTGTAAATGTGAGATTCACTGACTGACAGACAGACAGACAGATAGATGGACATTATGAATGATTGATTCATTGATAAACTCACTGATTGAGTGATCCTTGTTTTAGGTGGCAAATCTACTGCAATAGAATTCAATGATAGTGCCAACAATAGAACATTGTTGGACAATATTGATGAATTTGAAGTCATGAAAAACTATATGTTTGCCACACAGACAGTAAGTTATTTCCTTCAAAACCAAAGTCAAACTTATCATGTAACTATGTGATGTTTAGGTTTCTACAGTGTGAGGATGGGGATGCTGGGCCCACTATCCCACCACCCCCTCCCCCCCCCCCCCCCCCCCCCCCCCCACCAGAAAAAAAATACAACAAAAAAAACACACATGTATTCTTCTGTACATCCGTTATGCAATATATTTTAATTCAAACAAAGTTGAGAATGTTTGTTTTATGATATCAAATTGTTGGTGTTTGAGAATAAGTGTTGGAAGTGGGGTAATATAGAGCAAAGGCTCTTTATAGGAAAGAAAGAATGCATTGTACCCAACCCTGCGTATCGCGGCTGAAGTTTTCTTTCCAGGGTTCGTACGAGTTTAAGAAAGTCTTGGAAAGTTTCGGAAATCAATATTGCATTTTTCTAGGACGACCAGGAAAGTTTTGGAAAATTTCTTTTTTGACCACTGTGCTATAGAAAAGTTATGATTTTTTTTTTTTTTTTTTTTTTTTTTTTTGTCCCCGCTTTTTTCTTTTTTTTTTTTTTTTTTTTTTTTTTTGGTTCTGTTGGTAGTAAAAAAACGATCAATGGTCCGATTTTATTCGATGTGCACCCTCCCTGTRAAAGTTCTGATTACGGCCCTGGA